CTTGCCGGGGACTTGGGAGGGAACAGTGCAGTTCGCGCGAGGGGCGATCATGCCACCTGCACGGGGCGGACGCTGGAAAAAGGCCGCGAATCAAGCAGGATGTTCGATCGGTGTGGAAGAATTCGCGAACGCCTCCAAGAAAGCGACTTTGGAAAAACCGTGTGGAGCCCATGCAGGCATGCTGGGCTACTTCAATGATGCAGGGATTGATCAAGATCCCGCTAGTTTAAAAGAACAACCAAGATCCAAGTCAGAAAGACTATGCAGGGTCCGGGCAGATGTACTGCCTACTCTGCTACTTTTTTTTGCACGAGAAACTTACAATCTATTCATCTTCAATCGTAATAGTACAAAGAACATTAAAGGTAATAAAAAAATTAAATGATAAGTGGCACACGTGTTTTCCATCATTGTGAGTTCATGATAATGTGAGACAAAGTGGCAGAGTTTTGACTCCAAGCTTCCTTCCGTGAGCGAGATAGAGAGTTTCCTTCCCTGAGCGAGAGCGAGAGCTTCCTTCCCTGAGCGCCCCCTCCCCCCTCCCCTCCCCCGCCGGCCACTACTCCAGTGTCGGCGTCCACCCCCCTCTCCGATGGCCTCACAGGTCTCCCTCGGCTTCCTCCTCCTTGCCGGAGTCGCTTTCTCCCCCTCCTAGGCCGGCTCTCCGTTCCATCGTCGTCATACCCGAGGTGCTCGACACAGCCTTCGGCCCAATCGTCCAGGGCAGTGCCGGCAGGAGCTCCCGCCCCCCGCCTCCAGGGTCGGCTGCGTCAGAGTGGCGAACCCAAGACCTCCCGCCGCCCTCGCAGCCCAACCTTGCCTCCCCCTGCCTACATCGCGACATCGACTCTCACCCACCCTCCCCACCTCGTGGTCGCCGCGGACCTGCATCCCGGCCGCCCTCCATGGATGCTGCTACAACTGCGGAGACGACTGACACATCTTGAGCGACTGCACAAATGATACTCTGTGTGTTCGTTGCGGTGGCACGGGGGCTTATTAGTCGTGATTGCATGCTGCGGAGGAGTTCTTCGTCGGTGAATGGGCAGGAGCGCATGTCGGTGGCACCCCGCTGATGTAAGGTAGAAACCCTAGGGCCGATCTTTCACGAAATGAAGGGGATCCCACGAAGAACACGAAGGGAAACACGAGGGAAATCACAAGAGGAACACTCAAGAACAAGTCCAATCACACATCCACTAGACAATCAAACACACAAGATCCACAAGGTACATGAACAACAAAAGGAAAGATACCAGGTAAAGTCATATCCATGAGGAGGTCTTGATGATATCCTAGAAGGATTTTCCCGTGAGGGGTCTTGATGATATCTCGCAGGATCTTCTCACATGGAGGCCTTGAACTCCATGGGAGTGGTAGTCTCTCTCTCTTTCTCAAGAGTAGAGGTAGGTAGGAGCAAAGCTCACATACAAATGAGCTATCATATTTGCTATCCTAGAAAGGAGAAGGGGAAGTCCTATTTATAGTCTAAGTGGGCGAAGGGGTACATGGGGCCTCGGCCCAACACGCTGTGCACAGACAGACTTCGGTTGTCCAACAGTTACCGGACGAATGGTCGCTAGCGGGGGTCCGGTCGTCCGGTAGATGTCGGACGTCCGGCGTTTCGGCTCGTATCAGGCGGCGTCGGACTTCCGGTCGAGGTCGGACGTCCGGTGCGTCGGTCGTCCGATGGCCTTCGTTCTTTTGACATTTTCATACTGGACTAGTTGTCTCGGTCGTCTGGAGGGGCTCGGTCGTCCAGGCGCTGGGGGTGTCGGACGTCCGGTCCTTGTTGGGTATCTGGTCGCTGGAGCGTGCGCTGGCTGGGACTTCTGTCTGGGTAGAAGGTGTGTCGGACGTCCGATGGACGCCGGTCATCTCGGCACTGTAGAGTGTCGGACGTTCGGTGGCACGTCAGTCGTCCGACTGCTATAGACTCCGCAACTCCGTCTTATTTCGTCTTCGCTTCCACGCTTCCCTCGTGGATGGTGTAGGTGTTCCTTCGCGCTTGCACTCCTTCTCGTCGTCTGTGAAGCTCCGACAGTACCTATGCATGCACATGAGTGGAGGGTCAAGTGAGCATGTGTAAAGGAGATGATTCACCTTTATGTATGTGAAGAAGATGTCGCATGTGTCACTTGCCAAACGGGCTCTTGACATGATGATGTCCGTAGGATGCTCCGCATCATCTCCCCCCCCCCTCCCATTGGGAAAGATCCGACCTCGGATCAAAAACCAAATCACCATGGGAAAGAGATGGCTTCACCATGTAGGAGTGGACGATCACCAATTACTCATTATCTAGTAGCTCGAAATGGGCACTCTCCAATGTCGCACCGTCTAGGGATTCCTTCAAAAGGAGTAACAACAACAAACACTTGGAAAGACAAATGTGGTTAGCATTAGTGCAAATCCAAGCATTCAAGAGGTGATTCACCCAACAAGTGTCGTCATCAAGCATAGCATATGATGCGACAAAGGATTTTGGCATGGCATGTAAGCACATAAATTGAGCACAAGCGAAGATATCATGGGGACAAGCATCTAAATGTGAGGTAGTGATGCAAATATGCCCTGTTCAAGAATTCATCCGATTAACCAGTTAACTTGCCGATTAATCCCTACTCGTAGGGTCACCGAGTAGCTGATAAACTGATAAATCGTCCGATTAATTGATTAAATGGCCGATTAACTTGCCGATTAGCCTATTAATCCCCTACTCGCCAGCCAACCGAGCAGTTACCAGTTAACGATTTCCTCAACAATGCAAATATGTGTGACAAGAGAATAAGCATCTACCTCAAGCTCATAGCAAGCATTCACAATTTGCTCAATGAAAGGTATATGGTAGGCATAAGAATCATTCACAAGACCAAAGAAGATGATATGTCTAAACACATGTGTCAAGTGCAAGACAATCCAAGCATAACAAGCATAGGGTGTAGTGAAGATAGTGTCACGCTCAACACAATAGAAAGATCACTTGTTCATCATGTGTGAGGCAATCAAGTCAATCATGTGACAAGCAATGGGACATGGCATATGTGAAGAAATGATATTGCTGCAACCAACCATATGACAGTAGCAAGTAATCCAAGAATTGGACGCAACACACAAGGTATATATGTCATGAGGCATGAAAATGTGAAAATGGCAAGTCGAAGTAAGATCTCTAACATGTGTGCAGTCAAGTAGTCCAAGATGACCAATCGGTCTCATGGTGCAAGCAACACAAGTAGTATGATCCGGGATATCCATGTTCAAGAAAGAAGTCACCTTGAAGGCGTGTCCTTGTGCATCCTTTAGAATGTCGAAGCGCAAGCAAATGTGGTGTATAAGCGAGTCGTGGTAGAATATATGAGGCTCGCTCTTGAGAGCTCGAATGGTCAGCTCACATGAAGTGGAAGTCAACACAAAGTCCAAGTATCCTACACACGCACAAAACAAAGCAAAGTACGTATGCTCATGGTAGATGAACACATCATCCATCGTGATGGTTCTCTTCTCTTGCACATAACCATTAGTAGCAAAAGTGCATGAAGAATATAGAGAAGACAAATTGGTTCATCGTGAAGCCGATCAATTGGTTCATACTTTTTAACACGCTTCAGATTTTTCAACTCTCACGCAATACATGAGCGCAAGCCATGAATATAGCACTACGGGTGGAATAGAGTATAATGATAGGGGTAAATATAGAGAAGACAAAAAATTAGAAAGTCTCACATCGATGCGGCTAATCAACGAGCTATGGAGATGCCCATCAATTGATATCAACATGAGGAGTAGGGATTGCCATGCAACGAATGCACCAAGAGCTATAAGTGTATGAAAGCTCAATATGAAAACTAAGTGGGTGTGCATCTAATCCTATAATGAAAAATTCCCACTAGTATATGAAAGTGACAACATAGGAGACTCTCCATATGAAAAACATGGTGCTAATTTGAAGCACAAGTGTGGTAAAGGATACTAACAATGCCCCTTCTCTCTTTGTTTATTTTTTTTCTATTTTTTCTTTTTTTCCTTTTTCTTTTTTTCTTTATATATATATATATATATATATATATATATATATTTCTCTAATTGTCCGGAGTCTCATCTCGACTTGTGGGGGAATCATAGTCTCCATCATCCTTTCCTCACTGGGTCACTGCTCTAAAAATGAATAATGATGACCATCACACTTCTATTTACTTATAACTCAAAAGAAATAAAAACTACAACTCGATACCTATGACAAAATATGACTCTATATGGATGCCTCTGGCAATGTACCAGGATGTGCAATGATCTAACGTAACATGTATGAAAAATGATGAACGGTGGCTGAGCCACAACTGCTATGTCAGCTATATGATCATGCAAAGCAATATGACAATGAATGC